AATTTCAATAATATTTAAAATTAAGAGACTATCCAAAATATTTTTATACACTTTTAAAAGTTGTTCAAACATAAAGTGTATCTTCAATTCAATATAAAATGGATTCAAGTTTCGGGTTTAAGACAACAATTCCAAATTTTATTAATAAAAATATTAAATTCAAATCCTTATAAAAAATGATAAAAATAATTTTTTTATTCCTTATTTTTGCCCAAATTTATTATTTATCCTCCTCAGCAAATCTGACTGAAAAAGAAAAGTTAGATAAAGCTCAAAAAATAGTTGATAAGGCAAACGCTAAAAATAAAGGAAAATGGATTGCAAAATTACATCATCGCTTTGCTAAATTGGAGAAGCATTCAGTAATGCTTGGGGCAAAACTGAAAGTCCCGAAAAAACAAGTCTCTACTCCCGAAAAAACAAATCTTCGCCGTAAACGTTCAATTCCAGCTTCTTTTGATGTTCGTACAGGATTTGCATCTTGTGCTGGAATTGTTGGAATGATTCAAGTAATTAGGAATTTTTAATAAATAAATAAATAATCCTTCAAAAAAGGACCAATCAAGTTGTGGAGATTGTTGGGCTGTCTCCACTGCCTCGGCTTTAACTGATCGTTATTGTATTAGTCAAGTAAAAAAGGGGAATTCAGCACCTTTAAAGACAAATCCATCAGTATATTTCTCTGCGCTAGAGTTGATGAGTTGTACTCCTGGAATGTGGGGATGTGATGGAGGTGATCCTTACTATGCATGGAAATATACACAGACTTCCGGTATTTTTAATATTTTTACTGGGATATTGAATGGAACTCCCTCCCCCCCCCCCCCTCCCTACTAAACATTCAGTCTCTGTCAACTGATATTAATCACACAAAACAATGTCTCATTGTAGATAATAGCGAAAGTTAGACAAAGATTTGCGTGCCTGGCAGGATTTAAACCTCCGATCTCTTGTTCTAAATAAATGTCACTCTCCAATATCATCTGATTTTTAATTGAAGGTCTTGTTACCGGGACAAATTATACTTGGAACAGTGGTTGTAAGCCATATCCATTCCCTCCCCATGGATCAACTGAATACACTGCCCCGTCCTGTGTCTCTTCATGTACATCGAGTGCTTGGAATGTTGCTTATACCCAAGATAAAAAATATAGTTTAGTCTTTAATTTAAATAAATAACAAAATATTCTTTTAAATTAAGCTAAAACAACAGGTTATATTCAAAGTAATGTAGCAGCCATTCAAAATGAAATAAAGGCTAATGGTTCTGTTGTAGCTGCTTTTGATGTTTACGATGATTTTATGTATTATTCATCAGGAGTATATCAGGCAAATTTTGGATAGACTTTAATTGCCTTTTACTAAAATTATAAATTAAATTTAGCAAACTTCTGATGTTTATGTAGGCGGACATGCCGTTAGAATGATTGGTTGGGGTACAGACACTTATCCAGACGGAACACATTTGGATTATTGGTTGTGTGCCAACCAATGGAATTATGATTGGGGAATGAATGGATATTTCAAAATTGCTAGAGGTGTGGATGAATGTGGAATTGAATCCTCTGAAATTTCTTTTGGAACTTTTTAAAATATTTTTGAAAGACTGAGTAATGTTTGTTGTTAACTATTTAGGTATTACATTAGTATAATTAGCTTTTTTTAGTAGATAAACTAAATTTAGAAATTTATGTTATTTTTCAAGCTATTCACTAAATATTGTTTTGATCATAATTAGTTGAAATAAATGTTAAAAATATAATTTTCAATAATTTTACACAAATAGAATAAAACAATTAAAATTACAAATTAATTTAGTAAAGTAAATGTAAACAAGCAAGGATTCGGATTTGAAAATTTTTATTATTAATTAAACAGTAATTAATTACGATTATAAACATTTAAAAATATACGCACATGAATTTTCCACATTCCCGAGCAACGTATGGTGGAAAAATATCAAGAAAATTTTATACAAAAATAACAAAATTTCAAGAAAATTAATTCTAATACTTTTATTGTATAATATTTAGAAATTCTCAAATAAAAGGAAATTTCAAAAAATATTAAAAATGAAATAAATATAGAAACTTTATAGCCCTGTAAAAATGTTTGAATAATTATTTGAAAAATTAATATACATATTTATGTATCAAACAAAATTTTAAAGATGATAAACTTTAAATATTTAATTAATTTTTATTTAATTTTGTTATAGAATTATTTTCTTTGAAAGGATTTTTTTACTCAACATAAATATTTGCTCGGCTATAAATTAGTTAAAATTACATAAATATCTTTATATTTTTCACGAAATAACGAAAAATATCTAAAATATTCTGCAGGAAAGCATAAATAAAAATTAAATAAAAATTTTAAATTCCTTTTAATTGAACTTCTTTTCCCCGACCTTAATGTAAACAAAAATACATATTTAAGACTAGAATAGGTCCCTAAATTGAAAATTTATTTTTTTGCGCGAGACTTTAAAAGAACAAAAATTATTTATTTATTTAAAGAAACAATTCTTTTAAAACCTAAAAATATAAACAGAATTTCCCTACCCCCCCCCCCCTACCCCTTTTAATATTTACTTTCCACTCGAGGAATACAAATTTCATAACAAATACATATGTATACTAGTAAATTTGGTAAAATCTTTTAAATTTTTTATTATTAAAAATAAAAGAAATTCTTTAATTTTCTGAAAATATTCTCTGGTCTTTTCAAAAAAAATTTTTTTTAATCATCCTTAAATATTTGTTCATATGAATTGCCACATCTCAGAAAATATTTTATGACGCAAAAAATATTTTTGGCTTCAGCGTATAGCTTAAATCCTGCTTTTTAGTAAGCTATTTTAATAATTAAATAAAAACTTTCATTTTTGCTATTAATTGATTTTAAATAAAAAATATTGTTATTGGCAAGAATAAATATGTATATTAAACTTGCTATTTATTAATGGAATCAAGTTATAACTTTAATTGTTATCACTTTAATTTTTAAACTTCCTTTTACTCTCTGTTATATTTAAGCTACATACATATTTGTTGTTTCCTTACATGGTTTCATTATTAAGTGAAGTAAATTTGATTAGTTAAAGATTAGTACTTCATAAAATATCTGATTTGTATCTGATTGTTTATCTGGCTCTAAATCTAAATTATTAAATTAAATTTCTCGGGTCCAGCCCAGTTAACTTAGACTACAGGGTCTAGCCGACATAAAATTCAATTCCCGATTTTCGGGAATCGGATTGGCTAGATCCTTGGCGTAGACCAATCATTTATTACGTCTGTGATAAAATTACCATAAACTCTTATGCTTTTTATTCATAATATACCTATTTATTTCTTCATTCGTAAAATTAGGGTCAATTGAGGTTACGAATAGCACTGAAAATAGGGAAAATGAAACAAGATATATAAGAACTATAGAGGTCGGTAGGATGATAAAAACATAAGGAAGATGCTTTTGATTGATAAAGGGAATAAAGTTTAAATGGAGAAATTGTTCATACTTTTTAATCATTCAAAAAATGAATAATCCAAAGAAAATGTTAATTAATGAGTACATAAATAATTATAGGAAATCTATAGATAATTAATGAAGAATCAAAGGTTAATTATTCCTTATTTCATTTTTACATAAAATTTTCAAATTAATTTTCTCAGAAATTTTCCTAACAATTATATCACATACATATTTTAAAAATAAAGCTACTTAACAATTGATTAAAAATTTTGTATAATTATTAATTTTTAATCATTCAAAAAAGTATTTATTTTTGAATAACTACCCAACACTAAAATAAATATTTTATTGATAAGAAAAATTGTAAATTAATAATCACAATTATTAAATAATTATTAAAAAATATCATCATCAAAAATGCCTATTAAAAATAATTATTTACTTTATTCAAATTGGAATGTTTCAAAATTTATATTAAATGAATTTGGCGAGGAGAATAAAGGATATGGAGGAAATATTATTGGAATTTTGGTTGTTTTGATTGGAGCTTTATGTTTTGGTTCTTTGGTAATTTTTGGAAAAATAATTTTATAATTTTTAATATTTTTCGATTTTGCCAACCGACCCCCCCCCCCCCCATTAATTTTTTTCTGGAAATAACCAAAAAATTTATCTTAGTCTTACTATCATGATCTTGTTTCTCAGTGTTTTTGAAAATCTAAAAAAAATAATTATATGTATTGTAAGGAAGAGAAAGATTCAGCTTGCTAGCATTTAAAACGCTCACTAGGCGGGGGTCTAAGATCTATTAATAGAGAGTGAATGCAGCGTACTCCTGGAATGTCTGGATGTGGTGGAGGTGATCCTTACTATGCATGGAAATATACACAGACTTCCGGTATTTTGATTATTTTTACTGAGATATTGAATGGAAACTCACTACTAAAACATTCAGTCCCTGTCAACTGATAGTAATCACACAAAATGTCTCATTGTAGATAATAGCGAAAGTTAGGCAAGGGTGCCTGCAGGATTTAAACCTCCGATCTCTTGTTCTAAAAAAATTTGATTCTAAAATATCATCTGATTTTTAATTAAAGGTCTTGTTACCGGAACAAATTATACTTGGAACAGTGGTTGTAAGCCATATCCATTCCCTCCGCATGGATCAACTGAATACACTGCCCCGTCCTGTGTCTCTTCATGTACATCGAGTGCTTGGAATGTTGCTTATACCCAAGATAAAAAATATAGTTTAGTCTTTAATTTAAATAAATAACAAAATATTCTTTTAAATTAAGCTAAAACAACAGGTTATATTCAAAGTAATGTAGCAGCCATTCAAAATGAAATAAAGGCTAATGGTTCTGTTGTAGCTGCTTTTGATGTTTACGATGATTTTATGTATTATTCATCAGGAGTATATCAGGCAAATTTTGGATAGACTTTAATTGCCTTTTACTAAAATTATAAATTAAATTTAGCAAACTTCTGATGTCTATGTAGGCGGACATGCCGTTAGAATGATTGGTTGGGGTACAGACACTTATCCAGACGGAACACATTTGGATTATTGGTTGTGTGCCAACCAATGGAATTATGATTGGGGAATGAATGGATATTTCAAAATTGCTAGAGGTGTGGATGAATGTGGAATTGAATCCTCTGAAATTTCTTTTGGAACTTTTTAAAATATTTTTGAAAGACTGAGTAATGTTTGTTGTTAACTATTTAGGTATTACATTAGTATAATTAGATTTTCCTAGTAGATAAATTAAATTTAGAAATTCATTTTTCAAGCAATTCACTAAAAGACAATTATGTTGATAATTAGTTGAATGAAATAAATATTTAAAAAACGACGATTTCTAATATTCTTACAGAAATATTGTTTTATTTTTAATGTTTTCGTGCTTCTTTTCATAGAACACATACATATTAGAAAAAAATATGAAAATTTCAGTGCACTAGTTTGTAGATAAAAATCGAAAATCTAGGTGGAGCCATCATTTTGACGCGCAGTGTATTAAGAAACTCTCAAATAAAAGGAAATTTGAAAAAATATTAAAAATGAAATATAGATAGAAAACATTTTAGCCTAATAAAAATAGTTGAATAATTAGTTGAAAATAAATATACATATGTACATATTTATCAAACAAAATTCTAAAGATGATGAACTTTAAATATTTATTTATTTATGTACATATTTAATTTGTTTTTATTTAATATGTATTCTTATAAAAATATTTTCTTTGAAAGGATTTTTTACCTAACATAAATATTTAATCGGCTATAAATTAGTTAAAATTATGTATATAAATATATCCTTTATATTTTTCACGAAAAAATAACGTAGATTTTATAAAATATTCTGCAGGAAAGCATAAATCAAAATTAAATAAAAATTAAATCAAAATTAAATCAAAATTTTAAATTCCTTTTAATTGAACTTCTTTCCCCCGACCTTAATGTAAACAAAAATCTATATTAAGTAGTTTAGGACTAGAATAGGGCCCTAAATAAAAAATTTATTTTTTGCGCGAGACTTTAAAAGAACAAAAATTATTTATTTATTTAAGAAAAACAATTCTTTTAAAACCTAGAAATATAAACAGAACCTCGGCCCTACCCCTTTTAATATTTACTTTCCACTCGAGGAATACAAATTTCATAATTTGGTAAAATCTTTTAAATTTTTTATTATTAAAAATAAAAGAAATTCTTTAATTTTCTGAAAATATTCTCTGGTCTTTTCAAAAAAAATTTTTTTTAATCATCCTTAAATATTTGTTCATATGAATTGCCACATCTCAGAAAATATTTTATGACGCAAAAAATATTTTTGGCTTCAGCGTATAGCTTAAATCCTGCTTTTTAGTAAGCTATTTTAATAATTAAATAAAAACTTTCATTTTTGCTATTAATTGATTTTAAATAAAAAATATTGTTATTGGCAAGAATAAATATGTATATTAAACTTGCTATTTATTAATGGAATCAAGTTATAACTTTAATTGTTATCACTTTAATTTTTAAACTTCCTTTTACTCTCTGTTATATTTAAGCTACATATTTATTGTTTCCTTACATGGTTTCATTATTAAGTGAAGAAAAATGTATTAGTTAAAGATTATTACTTCATAAAATATCTGATTTGTTATACATATATCTTTATCTGGCTCTAAATCTAAATTATTAAATTAAATTTCTCGGGTCCAGCCCAGTTAACTTAGACTATAGGGTCTAGCCGACATAAAATTCAATTCCCGATTTTCGGGAATCGGATTGGCTAGATCCTTGGCGTAGACCAATCATTTATTACGTCTGTGATAAAATTACCATAAACTCTCATGCTTTTTATTCATAATATACCTATTTATTTCTTCATTCGTAAAATTAGGGTCAATTGAGGTTACGAAGAGCACTGAAAATAGGGAAAATGAAACAAGATATATAAGAACTATAGAGGTCGGTGGGATGATAAAAACATAAGGAAGATGCATTTAATTGATAGAAGGGAATAAAGGTTTAAATGGAGAAATTGCTCATCCTTTTTAATCATTAAAAAAATAATGAATGATCCAAAGAAAATGTTAACTAATGAGAAAATATTATGGGGAATCTCTAGATAATTAATTAACAGAATTAAAAGTTAATTATTCATTATTTCATTTTTACTAAAAATTTCAATTAATTTTTACACTGAAAAAATTTTCCCTAACAATTATCACCTACATATTTAAAAATAAAGCTGCTTAACAATTGATTAATTTAAAATAAAATTTTGTATACATAATTAATTTTTAATCATTCAAAAAAGTATTTATTTTTGAATAACTACCCAACACTAAAGTAAATATTTTATTGATAAGAAAAACTCTAAATTAATAATCACAATTATTAAATAATTATTTAAAAAATATCATCATCAAAAATGCCTATTAAAAATAATTATTTATCATATTCAAATTGGAATGTTTCAAAATTTATATTAAATGAATTTGGCGGGGAGAATAAAGGATATGGAGGAAATATTATTGGAATTTTGGTTGTTTTGATCGGAGCTTTATGTTTTGGTTCTTTGGTAAATTTTGTGAAAATAATTTTTTATCATTTTTAATATTTTCTCGTCAAGATTCTTGCCAACCGAAAATCGCATTAATTTTTCGGAATCGGGAATATTTTTATCTTAGAAATTGTAAGAAAAAATATAACCAAAAAAGTATCATCCTAGTCCGGAGGTGATATCCTTATCTTTTCTCGACTTTTTTGAGGGGTTCAGAAAATATCTAAAAATAATTATTGTAGTTTTCAATAAAAATAAAGATTCAGTCCAAATGTCCGAATCGTTTTAGTACACCATTTTAGTGAAGAGGAATATTTTTGGAGATTTAAAATGTATCTAAATGTTGTAAGGATGATCCACCTAGCAGCATTAAACGATCTAAAAGGAAAAGAGAGAAGCATTAGTCGATGCCCCGGTACTTCATTTGTTAGTGGTAGAGCTTCTGTATATGGTGAGCGAAAGCGCCTAGCAATAACTGCCAGGAAGGAGTCGCAGTTTCAAATCCTGCCCAGTGGCTAAACGTTTGCTAAACTCTTTTTAAGTTATCCATTCAAAATCAAAAGAACCTAAAGCAATAATTTTTAAAATATATTTTAATTTAAACATTTACTCTTCAGCATGTCCCAATAAAGAAATATTCAAAGGGAAATGATGGTAGTATTTTCAAATTATTTTCAAATTTTTTAAAAATTCAATTAGGAATTTTTATTCAATGGATAATGTCCTTTGGCAGCTTGATTATTGGATTTATTATAAATATTTTGATGGGATCTCCACCCTTTCGGTTATCCGTAACTGGTGGAGGAATGCTTTGGCCGATAGGTTGGGTTTGGTTTATTAATAAAATTAAAGTACGAAGCTCCTCAATTAGGATAGGGTATATTCTATAACTTAAAATATAAATCACTCAAACATATTATCCCCATCTTTACATTCCCGCTACTTTCGCGAAGCGACGAAGGATGAGGAAAATAAAATAAATATATTTTAATTTATTTCTAAATTAATCATCACTTTTTGCAAATTCCTTTTTCGGACTTTCACCCGGCTAAAAATCATTTTTTGCTGTAAACATCTATTCAAACTCTGTTTACATTTTTAGCTCTTTTGTTCTGAAACTTAACTTAATTTTCCAATCTTTTGTATTATTCAAAACATGTGCATTTTATTTAATCGTTCCTATTATGCCTTTAATGATCGAAATATTTTTCTGTCTACCCGCCTATTTTTCTGGCCTATATAATCTCCCACCCCAAACCCCAATTAGCTTCTTTCGGGGTTAGCTGGCTTTCTCATTAGCTCATTCTGTTTGGCTTTTTCTGTTGACTTTATTCTGTTCTGGTTCTGTGGCTCTCGTTCCTATTTGTGGCCGACCTTATCATTAATCTATTTGTTGGACTATTTATTTGTGCGAAATAAACTTATTACTACATGTTTAGTTTTAATTTGTTGGTACTAAACCTTTGGCCAATTGTGTTGGAATCTTTTGGCCTAACCCAGCTCTTGCGAAATCCCTATTTGTGTATTGGCTCTATTTGTTTGCTATAGCTACAAGGTCGAAAGCCCCATTTAAATTATTTTATTTAGCAAATTCACTTGCCTACATTGTTATTTTTGGTCTCGGCCTAGCCCCGGCCCTTTTATTATGGTCAACAACAAATATACTAACAGGATGGTCTACAGGCCGGTTTGGATTATTCGGTCTTAAGCAAAAAATACCTGAACATGAAATGCTCAACATTGTCGGTCTGATAACAATTATAATTGGGTGAGGAGTGGACATTAAATGATTAAATTAGAAGGGAAAATAGTGAAAAATATTTTTAATAAAGAACTACAAGGACATATAAAGGAGAAACAGTTGGAAATTATAGTAAATAGTAGGGTGTTGGCGACCGGTTATTAACCGGTGCCTTCGGTTTTCGGTTATCACCGGTTTTTGACCCCCGGTTTTGGTTCAGGTTAATTCGCCAAAACACCGGTTAACGGTTCCGGTTCGGTTAACCGTCCACCAACAACCCTAGTAAATTGTGATTAAGTTGTTTCACAAAATGCGATTTTGATAAACCATGACAGTAGTCTTCTAATTTCTAAAATTGTGGGAAAATCCTCACAATAAATTACAAGGGAAATTTAAAAATTTAATTTCAAATTTAGAGGTATTTGTTTTGCTTTTATTGAGAAAAGACTTTTACAAAACAACAAAAAACAAGTTCATATATTTCCTGGTAGGAATTTTAGTTCAAATATGTGTAGGTCCTTTTCTGAAAGTGATAAAAGCAGAAAAAGGATTAATAATCAAAGATCAAATGAGACTTTTGAAGAAGGTAATTATTAATTAATACCTATATTAATAATCGGCTAGAAAGTTTGTGGATATTTTTGGAAATAATTTTATTGGGAAATTCTCGATCACTTTAATTCAATTAAGAATATTCAAGAATTTCTTGTCAGAGACCAAAGACGCAATGTTAGGGATTGTCCCATTGATTCCCCTTTTTTAGGTCAAAAATTCGAATATCGAACTGAATCAATTGAAAAAATCAGCTGATTAGATGATTCTGAAATAAAGAATTAATAAAAATTTTATGGAGTTAATGATTAAATAATAAAAGAATTAACTTTTTTATCAAGTTTGAAAAAAGTTAAGGCGATACAAGACGTATTCCTTAATTATGAGTTTGTCATTTTTGTGTTAATTAAGCATTAATAGCCCCCCTTCTTTCTTTTCACTTATATATCATGTGTTTGGAACAGGGCTGCACGAAATTGTGGATTGCAAGTTGCGGATTTTTAAAAGGAAATTGCGAGTTGCGGATTGCGAGTTGAGGACTCTTTTTTCAATTGCGTGCAGCCCTGGTTTGGATACAAGGAATAAATAGGATGTTTATGAAGTCCAATTACGAGCTAGTTTCAAATTTCCAATCATTTGCATACATTTTTAAATTACAAAATTAGACACGATTTCGAAAATCTTTCAAAATACAAATTTAATTTTAGAGAATTTAGAATTTCATCAAAGTAATAATTACAATCATAAAATAATGAATGGAGTTGGTTTGGTTATTTGTGGACATCGAATATTAGATATAAGAAAATCTAGTTTTGATTTATCCTCACATTCATCAAATAATAAGACAGAATCTAAAGAGAATTTAAATGAAACAAATGTTGGGAACACTTCAAATTATTTTAGAAGAATTGTCCACAGATTTAGTCAAAACAATGTTGGATTATCCAAAAGAATAAGGAAATGGATGATGCGAAACTCACATCGATTACTGTAAATTTAATAAAAGGATTTGAATAGTCTACCAGTAATGTTCGGGAGTGAAAACAAGCCAAGACCGGGAATAAACCACGAGACTCGGACCGAGACCGAGAGCTCAAAAACCCGGAAAATTTCCCGACTCGGGAACCGAAACCGAGAGTCTCGAACGGCAGGCTGAAACCTGCGGACGGAAACTTGCGGACCCGGCGAATTTCTCAAAACATAGCTCATTCGAAAGAGCTTGACGAGCTGAGTCGAATGACATCAAAATCATCGTGATTGTACAAGCCTGGACAAGGGCCTATGGTCCGCAAAAGTCGGTCCGCAAGTCTCGGTCCGCAAGTCTACTACAGTCTCCTATTCTATTTTATTCTCGCTATTGGAGTTGTCGGTTTTCGGGCCTCATTTTTATCTAGTCGGGCAGAAAGTTTATTTCGGAGTCTATTTCGACCAAATATCATAGGCCTAACTCGATTTTTTGGTCCATTTTGGCAACCCTATTTCCTATGTTAGAAAATATTATAATTATTAATATTTTTTTAACTAAAAAAATAATAATTGAGAAATTATTTTTATTAATTCCAAAGATCATACTAAAATCTAGCGGTCTTGAAAACCCATTTGAGTGTTAAAAGATAAAAACATTCCATTACTAAGAAATTTAATTTAAATTACATAGATGTATTTGCCTTGCTTTAATTTCTGGCTTTTTCTACTCTGTTACAGTCATTCCAGTTATATGTATGCCCAAATTTTAAATAATAATTTCTACAATATCTTTGTAGATATTCAAGACCATTTGGAACTTTTTCCAGGATCTCCAAAAAGTGGACTAAATTACATTTTTTCACATTATTTTGGTGTATTTATTGGGGCTACATGCATTTTTATTGGATATTTAATTATTAAGTAGATTATTATTTAAATAAAAATTATTACAAATTTTTACCAGTGGAAGTATTTTAAGGATAGAGGATCTCTAGTAGAAGATCTCTAGTAGAAGATCTCTAGTATCAATGACTTATGATAATGTAAGGATGATTCACCCAGCAGCATTTAAAACGCTTAGGCGGGGGATAAACGATCTAAAAAGGAAAAAGAGAAAGCATTAGTCGATACCCCGGTAGCTCAGAGGTACATAGAGCTCCTGCATATAGTGAGCGAAAGCGCCTAGCAACAATAAGCAGGTGGTCGCAGGTTCGAATCCTGCCCGGTGGCAAACTTTTGCAAACTCTTTCTATACTATTTTTAGCTAGGGTAGCACACTGAGTCTTCGGTGGCGGTTTGTCTGGGTTCGGTTCGGGGTTTTTGTCCAAAAATTCATATAGGGTCGGGTCGGGGTTTCGGGCCCCCTCTCCTTTAATTTTAAAAATATCATTAACATAAACTTTAATATAATTTAAGGAGGAATCACCCAATAGTCAATCCAAAAATTATTTTACCCTCATTATTAAGTGGAGCAATTTGGGGCTGTGGAATGATGTGTTTGTTCCTTTCAAACGATTTACTTACCCAAACAGTTTCATACCCAATATTAATTACTATTCCCGGTTGTGTTGCTTCTGTTTGGAGTATTTTTTATTTTAAAGAAATACCTTTGGTAAAGTTTTTAATTTAAAAATAAATAAAATATTTTTTTAAGAATCGAAAGAATTTATATATTATTTTACTTTCATTTACTTTAATTTTTGTTGGTGCTTTACTTGTTTTTGTTTCAAAGAGAAGAGTTAATTTATAAAAAAATTGTCAAAAATTTATTTTAAATTATATTAATTTAATTATGTATAAGTTTATATAAAATGATTTATGTAAAATTTAAATTTATTTTTTTTGATTTAATATAAACGGTGATTCTGACTTCTGAAATTCATTAAATCAACATGAATACTATTGATGCTCGGGAGCAGAGGTGGGCGGAACAGTCAGAGGTGTCGGAAACCGGAAGAGCCGGAAATCGGAACTGGCTCAAAAGTCGGAACTCAGAAATCGGAAATCAAATTTTTTGGAAATCGAAGGAAAAAAACGCCGGAAATTGAAATTCCGACCCATCTCTGCTCGGGAGAAGAAAAAACCCGAGTATCGTGAAGCGAAAGTCGGGACGGAAATGACCTCGTGATCGGGAGACAAAAACTAGGAAAAATTTCCCGATTAGGGAGTTAGGATCGGGATACCCAGGCATCACTAATAGATACATACCAGGGCTGGATAATTTTGAATTTTAAAAAGCGGAAGGCGGAAGAAACGAAAGAAAATTAAAAATGGAAGAGATTTATATAATAAAGATATTCTTTTTCCCTTTGTTATCATTTAATTTCTCTCCCTTTCGTGAGGGCATATATTTTATACTATTTATAAATAGTATAAAATTATAAAATATTATAAAAAAGATGTAGATACTTTAGGAAATCGTATAAAATTGCATAAAATAAATCAAAAAAAAATAATAAATTTATTTTGCAGTCAAAAATGTATCGTGTATAAATATTGAAAATATTTATAGGAAATTTAAAATATTTTTCTTACACTAATTTAAAAAAATTTGTTAAAAACCGTTATAAATTTTAAGGATTTTAAGAGAATCGGGAGATTAAAAAGGTTTTTGGGAATATATCGGGAGATTTGTATGTCAAATCGAAGAGGATTCTACCGTATATAATGTATTTATTACCCTCCTTCTAATAATTACCCAACCTCTATTATTTACCCTCTCCCGCGAGAGATCGAAACAATAATTACCAGGGTAATTAATACAGCTTTTACGGTAAATATATGTGCCGACAAAAAAATAAATACCAAAATAAAATTCCAAATAATTACATATGTTTTGTTGTTATTTAAAATCAACTTTATAACTTTCAAAATCCTTTCAGAAAATTTATTTTAATTATCAATTAATTTTTACAAATTTTTAAAATAATGAAATATAAAATGCGTTTTTTGGCATTTTTCATTTTATTATATCTTTTATTACCCCTGATTGGATGTATGGATGAACCTTCAAAGGAGGCTAGTTTTTAGTTTAAAATTGACTTTAATTATGTAGTCGGTTTTGTATTTATGAAGGGTTCTAATAGACAGCTGATAATCCTTTACATTTACTTATCAGTTGATTTTTTACTTTTTTCCATTTTTTGTGGATATGTGATTGAAGTTTTTTGGATTTGTGGATTTATGATTTTGGATTAGGGTTGGGGTTTTCGAGTCAAGCCGACGTTCGAGTCATTTTTGGGCCTCATTTTTATCAGACCGGCCCGACCGAGTCTTTTTCGGGCCAAAATTCAATGCCCGACTCGATTCGGACCGGGCCGGATCGGGCCCCCAACCCTAATTTCGATATATCATCGATCTCCATTATTAGAAATTCTGCTTTGGCAGGTTTCCCATTTAGTGAATCAAGGAAATTACCTAATACAAAACATAGATTTGAGAATTTTTTTATTTTGTATATTTTTAACTTGATTTTTTCGTGTTTTTTAGAAATATTCTCCAATCTGGAATCATTTCAATTATATTGGTAATAACAGAGTAGAATGCAAATACTGCTCCAGCAATGTTAGCATAAGCAATATGCATCGTCATCTTAAAACTTCACATAATGAAGTTGACGAAAAATATGTTTGTTTTCATATATTTATTTATTATTATTTTGGCTCGGATTTTAGGTTATAACCTATTTTATCTGCGAAATAGTTATGATGAATTGAGCTCAAATCCGTTGTTATTTTTCGAATACCTTACGTTTACGCGGACTTATTATCACCTATTCAAACCTATTTTGTGGTTTTGCAACCTAAATAAGTTGTAACCTATTTTGAAGTTTTTGTGATTTTTGTCACCTATTTTGCTTGTTTCACGTAAAAATTCGATTTTTTACCAAAATTTTGCAAAATTTTTAGAAAAAACCCTAAAACTTTTCAAAAATTTTGTCAATTTTCTTATCATTTAAAATTTTTTTCCAATTTTTGAAAAAATATTTTTTCAAAATTAAAAAAATTTTTATAATTAACATTTTCCATTTAAAATTTAAAAAAAAATGGGAATTTCACCTATTTTTCATCATTGTCACCTATTTTGGAGTTTTTGTCACCTATTTTAAGATTTTTACAACCTAAAAATCCGGGCCCTACTTATTATTTAAGCAATAATCTCTTTCAACAACTAATCCCAAACAAATAATTTTTATTTAAAAAACTTACTTTAGAACAAAAAAATAATGGAAAATTTTGTCACAACAAAAGACGGAAAATTAAAATGTAAAATTTGCAAACGTAAGTTAAAAGATAATTTTGCCGGATTAGCAAAACATCTTTACATAATACACAATATGAGCTTTATCAATTCGGAACAACCAGATGCAGAAATAAATTTACATACTCAAGTATTAAATTTACAGAATTTTAAAAATTTGTGGAATGTGGTTTTTTGTTTATGAATTGGAGCAAATATGATGTCATTCGAAAGAGCTTCGAAAACTGAGTCTAATTAGATATGTATGGGAGAAGTCGGTCGGACATTTAGGAGCTGAGTTACAGACCCCTTGAATAGAAAAAAAGGAGGGGGCGGTTGCTGATTTTGGGTGAAAAATTGCTTTTATAAATATGTAATAGCTTATTCAAAGAGTTAGACAAGATGAGCCGAATGATAGGTTTGGGCAAAGTTACGATAGAAAAAACCCAAGCCTATGGGATTCGGCGAGGCACTTATCAGCCATATCTGGATCAGAACCATAAATTGAACTTAGGCCCTTTTCTCCCATTTTTGGGTGATTAAAAAGTCGAACAAAAATTTATTTGAAATTGCAATTGGACTGGACTTCAACTTTTCTGATATTTTGGATTTACCGTGTTAAAATCCAGAAATAACATTTAAATATCCGGGTTTCGGGCAACATGACTTAATAATCTCTTATCAATATGCGCTCATTTAAATTAATTTTTTCAATGTTAATTTGTGTAATTATGGGTTAATAGCATGAAATTCCAAAAAAAAATGGAATGATTAATTCTATACTGAGGAAATACCGATTAGTTATTTATCGATGCATAGTCATCTTTTTAAGGTTTAAAATTTTATTGAAACATATTAACATTTAATTATAAATTCATAAATAGGAACATATGTCATTAGACGAGATGTATAAGAAAATTTTTGGGCCTGATCACAATGAAGGTATGTTTGAATAATTATAATTAAAGATGGACATGGTTTTGCATATTTAAATTTCGAAAATTTAATAATAAAAAAATAATAATAATAAAAAGGAGTCACAGCGCGCCCCTATGATGGGTTATTTTTACTATTTATTCAACCAAGTACCGCCCAACCTATGATCCTGCCGAAAAAAGGAGAAAATTTTGGGTTCAAGAAAAAAGTCTCCTTAAAATGCCAAGAGTCTCCCTCTATTGCAAATTATACTTATTTTAAAAAGATGTGCCTACAACACAGGGCTATGATCAATATTTGTCCGCTGGTATATAAAAGAATCCATTAACAATAAAATTTTGTAATATAAATTAACAGCTGAATATGAACAACAAACACAAAAGGCTATTGAAGAATCTGTTCGTGAAATGCCTCGAGGTCGAGGAGGTCCAGTAATACGAGGTATAGTAAATAAATAAATCTGAGCTCTATCTTAGGATATGCGTCCCATGCAAGTTTATGCGTCCAATAAAAGTTTATGCGTCCCAAAAATAGTATAAGCGTAACACAATTGTGAAAACATTTTTTAATTTTATTAATGACAATTAGATATTTTATTCTATGTTCCTTGCTCAAGAGACAACGAGCATTAAATTAATATTTAACTAACGGAATCTGTCTTTTTTTTGAAACTAAATGGAAAATGTGTTTTTTGTGCATTATACTACATCATGACAAGTTTGCAAAAAATATGCATTTGCATAAAAATGCGATCTCTAATAAGCACCATAAACTTTCAAATATTTCCCAATTTTTAAATTTTATCTTATCGTTCTACGATTTTCGAATTTACTTTGGCTCTACTCCAGTTTATGCGTCCAATAAAAGTTTATGCGCCAATCAAAAAACAATTGGATTTTTCTTAGTATTGCAAAGTTGGGGTATGGTACCAAAACATTTCTTCATGTTCGGGACCTACGTCCACTGGGTCTGGGACCATTCCTTGCATTATCCCTCGAAATTTCGGAAAGTTTTATGTTTTGAAACAACTTTATCACCAGCTTTCAAGGGATATTAGTTTTTAGCGCTGCAGGTAAAATTTTTTTAATTTTAGAAGGCCAAGAAGACAGGAATCCTCCTTTTTTGACAAATCGAATAGAAGAACAAAACCAAATTTTTCGGATGAATCTATGGATGAACCTTCAAAAATTGTTAATTTTTAATTAAAATTGATAATAATGATGCAATCGATTGTATCGTTGAATGGGGGCTTTTTAGAAACGATACGGGTCTGGTGAGCAAAATATTAACGATTTAGGGTACGGGTGTTTAATGAAAAAATCGGCTTTAATGTAGTGTACCGGTGGTAAAAGTTCGGGCATGACATATGCCATTCGACGAGTTGAGTCGAACGGTAATACTCACTACATTAGGAAATGAATCTGGACCGAGTTATAGGTCCCGAAAAATTGAAAAACCATAGGGGGGAAAATACACTTATTTCTTGGGATATAAGTGTATTTGTAAGGAATAACGATGGTCTGATTATTGGGTATTATTACTGGGTTTTCATGATCACAGGAATATTTATATAGAGTTGAGAATTTTTGTATATTTTAACTTTATTCTTTTATGCTTTTTAGAAACGATCGCCATTATGGAATCATTTCAATGATATTGGCGGTAATAGAGTAGAATGCAAACACTGCTCCGAACAATTAAAATTAGTTTCTGCGTTTAGTCATATCAGAAATTCACATAATGATATTTATGAACAAAATGTATATTTTTGTATATTTTTATATTATTGTTCATTTAATACAAGCCAAAGAATTTATTTTATATTTATTATTAAAATTTATTTCAGGGACAAGCTGTACTGGAACATTTTACCAAAATAGATAAAGGACAACATGAAGGAAAATTTAAATGTAATTATTGCAATCGTAGATTGAATGAGAATGTATCTGGATTAAGAATGCATTGTTTAAAACACGGAATTAATTTTGTCAATTCTGAACAACAAAATACAGAAATAAATGTGAGCAACTTAAAACTACCGTATTTGCTCTAATTGAATGACTCCTCTATTTGAATGACCCTTCTAATTGAAGGGTCATTCTAATTGAAGGTCTACCGAAATCGAGAATTAGACTTTTATCAGTGATTCCTTTTAACCGATTCTAGAAATTTTTGAAAAATTAGGTAATCTTCTACTTCATTGGTCCCTAGAAAAAAAGAAAGAGAAAAGTTCTTTTGTGATATTTTTAAGGTTTTGCTGGTAGGTAATCGCTTTAAACTTGTTTATTTTGTACTCCGGACCCGAATTCGACAATGTGGAATTCGTTCTGAAAATAAAAATTTCAAATTTTATGTCAAATCCGATTAGACTCTTCGAGCTAAGTCGAATGGTATCAAAATTATTGTTGCAACAACATTAGAAGAAGTTCTAATTAAATAAATAGACGCTTGGTTAGACTTCCATATACAAATTAGACACAATAACTTCGTATAAAGTTATAGAACATAATAATTTCGGTACCATTTGACTTGCTCGAAGAGACGAGTCAGATTATCCCTAGATTTTAATTTCGAAGTTTTACCCCGACTTCGATCTATAATATTTAATTATGAATTTATAAATAGGAACAAAATTCATTAGAGGAGATGTATAACGAACTTTTTGGGCCGGATCACAATGACGGTATGTTTGCATAATTATACATAATTAAGGACCGTACTCGGAGTGGCATATCTAAATCTTCAACCCCCCCCCCCACCCTCTATTAGAACCCCACCTTCAAATACAACCCCACCATGAAGGATAGTTGAAAAATAGAGCCTCATGGTGCTATAATATACATATAGGAAATACGGTATATACTTATTTTAAAAAGATGTTGTGACTGCATCACAGGGTTATGGGCATCATGATCAATATTTGTCAGCTGGTAATAAGCGATCCGTTATCAATAAAAGTTTATAATATAAATTAACAGCTGAATATGAACAACAAACACAAAAGGCTATTGAAAAGTCTGTTCGTGAAATGCCTCGAGGTCGAGGAGGTCCGTTAATACGAGGTATAAAAAATGAATAAATTCGTGTAAATTAATTAAGAGTAATTTTAATTAATAAATTATCTATCCATAAATAATTATAAAAAATATTTTAGATCGAGGAGAACAATCTACAAGGGGAAAAGAGAAAGTAATTGAAGCTTCAAGCGATTCTGATTGAAGATTATTTAGATTTAAATGAAAGACAACGGATTTTATACGAGTTTAAATTTATAGGTATTTAACAAGAATGGGGGATTATACGGCGAAACGACACTTGCAGCAGACATTTCCAACCCATTCCCACCTTAAAGGTAAACATTGCATTTTTAAGTGAACAACCGCAATTATCAGTCCTATAGTAAAAATATCACAATATATCGGTTAGCAAAAGTTTAACCACCGGGCAGCATTCGAATCTGCGACCTACTCATAGTTATTGCTAGGCGCTTTCACTCACCCACAACATTCAAGAACTCTACCACCGGTGAACAACATATAAATTTCCAAACATTGGCTGCAAGCGTCGCGCCCTTTTTAAATGGGTAGTTAAAAATGAACATTCAATTTTTTATATTTAAATTTGGGATTTTAAGCATAAATTTATTTTTTAAATTTGGTTAGTATGTTCTTATAAATATACTTTTGTTAATATAATTAGTTGAAATGAATTAGAATAAAAAACTTAGAAATGAAACACTTAGGTACTTTTTAATAGAGCTGCACGAGATCGAAATTTTAGAAAAAATCCGAGACCGAGATTGACCGAGACCCGCATGACCGAGACCGAGACCGAGATGCAAAATTTGACCCGAGACCGATATCGAGATCCGAGATAAACCGAGATTTTTCAAAACTTTTTTTATCCACCAAAACCCATTAAAATTAATTAAATATCATCTAAATCATCATCAAAATCATCTGTTTCATCAGAATCAATTTCAGTTGGTGGACCAAGCAACAGTTTATCCATATTTGCCTTTACAACTAGAATTTTTTCCACCATTTCTCCAGAAAGAATTAAGTATAAAGGATAGGGGACACTTGTTAATTAGAAGGGGTCGTCCCGTAAAAAAAATAAATAAATAAAATTATTAAAACAATTTATAAATAATAAAAATACAAATTGAATAAATAGTAAAACTAAAACTGATGTGAGATCAAAAATATTTTTGCATCACCTCCAACAATAATTCTTTAAATAAAATGATTTTTTAAAATTAAATTAATTATTAAGAAATAAGTTAAGAGTTTATAAAAATATTTTTTTGAATTTACGAAAAACAAAAAATTCGAAATTCTTTGTTTTTCTAATTCTTTGATTGGCAGAAAAACTTTTTCAAAAATCTAAACACCTTAAATTCCTCATTCAAAACACAATAATTGTTTGCCATTTCACTACCCTTTTCAAACAATTGAAAATTAAATTCATTTGAGTTTGGTAGCCTTTCAGCAACAAGAATATCCTCTTCCATTCCCTTATCCAAATAACTGGTAGAAAAAATAATAAAAAGAATTTCTAATTTACGGGAACCTTTTAATTGTCTGAAGAAATAAATAAAGAAAGGCAAAACAACAGGTAGAATTAAGATTTTCTCGAGAAAAATATTTAAAAAGAGAATTTACTTCAATTAATTCAACTCTATTTAATTGAACTAAAAATTATTATTTTAATTTTAAAAATTTTTTTAAAAACGATTTTCATGTAGGCCAATCACTAAATGTTTAATACTGGCCAAATAAGATTGAATCCACCATTTTAGAGCTATAAATGACAAAAAGAATAAATATTAGGGATTTGTAGAAGGTGGTTTCAAATGTGATTGAAATTAGATTAAAGCGAAAAGGTAGACTGACTCAATCCTGATATACTAAATATCGTGTTGTACTAACTCAAGGAAAAGACAAGTCAAGGAACGACCAACTCAAGGAATATTTTGAAAAATCTGAATATTTTTAAAAAATTAGATTTAAAAAAGATTGAAATACTTTAAAAAACAAAATTTAAAAATAAATTCTGAAAAATTTAGATTTTTAAAAAAATACCATGAGTGGTCGTTCCTTGACCTTTTCGCTTTAATCTAATTTCAATTACATTTGAAACCACCTTCTGCACATCCCTAATATTTATTTTTTTGTCATTTATAGCCCTAAAATGGTGGATTCAATCTTATTTGGCCGGTATTAAACATTTAGTGATTGACCTACATGAAAATCGTTTTTAAAAATTTTTAAAATTAAAATAATAATTCTTTTAGTTCAATTATCAAATTTAAGTCTCTTAAATAGAAATCTATTGAGTTATCCTATAATGAAGTTCATGTCAGTTACATCTTTTAAAAAATTTTCTTAAAAAATCCTACCAAAATTCTTCAAAATTTTTATTATAAAAATTGTTGTAATATTTTTTTGTAATAAATAAAATTAAAATACTATAGGTAATTATTTGCAATTGTCTTATTTTTAAACAAACAATATTCCTTCCCTTCCCTCTCAATCAAAGGCACACACTTCGTTGTCGAATAAAAAAAATTAATTTAAAAAAATTATGATGGCGGAGTAGATTTTTGTTGAGGTTGTCCTAAAGTTGCAGCAGGACTTCCACTTAAAAGTGCAGTAAATTCATCAATACAAGCTATAATTTGATTGTTTTTATCCAAATATGAAAGCGTTTCTTCTGGCAATATTCGACGAACAGAGTCGCTAAAAAAAAAATTTTTTTTTGAAATTTTTAGATTGAAAAATATTAAAACAAGGGAGCATTATCCACTGTGTACAAAAATTTGGTATTATTTTTGGTACTATTCGATAGAGGACCCTCGACTTGCTATTGGGAAGTGTCCTTATTTTTCGTCCAAAAGTGACTTTAAGGACGAGTTATGGCTGGTCAAACTTTCGAATTTTGGGAGCGTTTTTGTTATACGGAAGAAAGGAGAAAACCAAAATTCTTTTGTACACACTAGACGATGTTCCCTCGCAAGAAAAAATTTCACAAAAAAAAATTAAAAAAAAAGTACCCAGGTATTAACGGCTTCCTTTCCAAACGGCATTTTCGAATTTCTACAAAAGCTTTACGAATTAGACTTGCATAAATACATTTTGACATAAATTGTTCCAAATTTGCATTCTGTTCAGGATGAATATCCATAAAATTGTAAAGGTCCTCGACAGCCTTGGAAAAATTTTTTTCTAAATTTTTTAAGAACAAAAAGAAACCCCAATAAAAATATCATCGTCAATACGAGCAAATAACTTTTCCATTTCTTCCATAAATGGCGGTGTTCCATCCGGAGTTTTTTCATCTCCTGTAGTATTACGTTTACCAACAGCACGGACACATCGTTTTACATAAAGAACAATATGTGAATTTTCTGGTAGATGGTCGAGGTAATTAAGTATCTTTTTAAAAAAATTGTTAAAAAAAATTAAAAATAAACCGAATATTTCTTTTTTACAACAATTCGTTGAACACAAATAAAAAGTAATTTTGAAGTCTCTTTAACAGAAGCATCTGAATCATGTCCCTCATTTGTTGTAATATAAAATCGTGTAATGTAAGTATTTATATGTTCCAATAATGTGGGAATATCAATCTGAAAAAATAAAAAGGTAAAGAATAAAATTTGGGGTCGGAACTAGTATTATTCACGGTACCGTATTACGGCGGTATTTTTCGGTAATACCGCAGTATTTTTACCGAAATACCGATACCGAATACGGTACCGAACAATTTTAAAAAAATCGGTATTTTTTCGGTATCGGTATTTTACTGAAAATACCGATACCGAAAAAACGCGTTTGAATAACACTAGTCGGAACCAAGGGCGTATCCAGGGGGTCGGTTTCGGGGGGGGGGGGGGGGGGGGCTAACACTGGGTGGGCGCAAAAATTTTTGGCGTTTACCTTGGCGCTCTGGACGCAACTTTTTTTGTACATAAAAATTCACTTATCCAGCGCCGCAGGCGAAAATTTTTTGAATTTTGGAAGACCGTAGGCAAAAAAATTCACTTATTCAGCGCCGCAGGCGAAAATTTTTTGGAATTTGGAGCCCAAGAAGCCAGATTTCTTCTTTTTTTAGCGCCGCAGGCGAAAATTTTCGACCATCCTTCTCCTAATTTTTCCCCCTTTCCCCCATTTCGGGGGGGGGGGGGGGGCTCTAGCCCCCCCCCCTGGATACGCCCTTGGTCGGAACGCCAAAGTTTTCGAAACGTCAAAGAAATTTGGAAGAAATTTTGGAAGAAAATTTCGGATCCTATCCAGATTTTTCCCAACTTATAACTTCCCTTTACACCCCCAATTATAGCCCAGTGAAATCGACCACTGGTCTTGGCGTTGCGTCTTTTAATTAAAAAGGTTCAGGGACATCTCGATGAACAAGTCTTCTCTGGCGTGTAAAATTAACTCGGCAATAAAATTAGAAAAGGTGACAAAGTCAGTGTGGGTGTACCAAATGAACGCACTTATCGGGAAAAAATTTTTATTAGAAAATTCACAAACCATATCAACAATTGCTGGATCTGTAAGAGTTTCAGTTCGTTTAATCATACATTTACGAAGTAATTCCAAAATCTTTCCTTTAGGTTCAGCTGCTTGGTATTTCATAATTAACTTCATCAAAGCCAAAAAACAAACACTTGGATGAGTAAATTCACAAAGACGAATAACAACAACATTTAATGAACGAAAAACCTGAAAAAATTTAAGTTTTTGAACAAAAAAAGTAATTAAATTAGAGCAATCCAAGACTATTAGTCTTGACTCAAGCTTTTTTGTGCTTTTGAAAACTTAATGAACTTTTCAAAAATTTGTCCTATTGAACCAAACAAGTGTCTCGAATCTTATTAATGTTTGGTTTTCAAGTCTTTGGTCTTGAACCAAATCGTGGACACGAGTCTAGAAAACATCCACTCTTAAATATCTTTACAAAATATTATTCAAAATATAAACCTGATCTTTAAATCCAGAAAGTCGTTGATCACATACTAACGACAAAATTGCTTCTATAAATCCACGTAAAGTATCAGCACTAATTCTTTTCATTATATGAGTTTCATTTGTTAACTTAAAAAATATTTTTAATAAAAAAATTTAAGAAGAAAAAAACCGTAGAAAGAAAATTACAAATCGAACGCAAAAATTCATTTAGATCATTCTCTTTAGAAAAATTTTGTTCGTCTCGGTTTGATTCTTTACCAGATTCTAGTTGTTCAAGATGTTGACTTCGAATATGAAAAACTTGTGTGACAATCTAAAAAAGTACAAGATTCATAAAAAATTTTTAAAGTTTTAAACCATTTTTAAAATAAGCTCTGATCTATCAATTATATACTGGCGATTATTTGGATCATTCAATAAATGCAACAACTAAAAAATTTTTTATTTATGAATTTAAAAAAAGATTTAAAATAAGGAATTGAATTGTGGAGCCCCTTAAAATAAAATTTGTTCCCTTTTTACATCGTTTGGTTAAGTGTAATTTAGAAAAAATCTGGCGGGTATGGATAAACCAGAGGTCTGTGGTTCGAGTCCGCTTGTTGTAAACTTTCTTGTTTTTGCTTTTTAAATAGCTATATTTGTAAAATAAACAAATATAAGGTATTTTCGAGCTATTGGAATTTTTATCGAACCTTAATGTGAAAAAAGAAAAAATTAAACCTGCGCAATAGCTTCATCAGCAATGCTTAATTGTAAACAAGAGACATTATGAACAGCTCGATCAATATATTCAGTACTTTCTAGCGAAGAAATAGAAGATACAGATTCACTACGTCGGGAGAATGTGCTTACAGGGCGAATTACAGGCTTCTAAAAATTTAAATTAAAAATTTCAAAAATTAAAAAAATATATACAATTGGTTGTAAATCTTGTTGATCAATACTACTTCCACTTGGCTGAACATTTCGATTTGCCAAAACACCTCGTTCTGGTTGCCCCACATCATTTTTAGTAAATGTCGAGTTTAAACTGGTGGATTGATTTGCTCCTCCAGAATTAACCACTAGAGTCCTTCCAGCGTCGTCAAAATCATTTTGAAAGAATTTAGGATCCAATTGAAAACGACCACCAGTCTTTAAAAAATTAAAGAAAATTCAAATTAAATAAAAAAGAAAGTTTAAACCTGATTCAATGCCGAACTTAAAGCAGCATGTGAATGAGCAGAAGAAAGACCCGTAGCTGTAACGTTATGTGAACGACGAGGAGCACGAACATTAGTGTTGTTATTATCATCTGCTCCAGCTAACATCATTGAGTTATTTCCGGGTAAAGCCAAGTCCAAAGGGCGTCGAGGTCTTTAAAAAAGGACATTTTAATAAATTAAAAAATAGAAAAAAAACCCGCTCGCAGAACGCGCTCTAATTGTTGAATTTGGTTGTGAACTCGAATTTTGCATTCTAGAGTTGAGACGGCTAGTAGACATATCTCGAGTTGTTTGTGGACGATTTGCAGATTTTGGATCAAATGCTCCTGTCCGCTTAATTCGTTCATCAAGCATTGCGCGTTCTTTTTCCCCAAGCTGTCCAATTAAAGAGAAAATTTTGTCTCGATCACAACCCATTCCTCGATAAACAGTAATTATAGTATTCAGTGCCGCGTTACGTACAGCAGCATCTCTTTCAGAAATACAAGCACCAAAAGTACGCATAGTTATTTGTGGTGTTGTTGTTATTGAAAGACCCATGATCTTTAAAAAAATTAATTCAAAAATATATAAGTAGTAGTAAGAAGCGGGGTGTAGGGTTTTTTTCCTAATATTTAAAGAAATCCTAGTTCTAAGTTCAATTAATTCAAAATCCAATAAAGTTTATTTCGCAAGAGAAAAAATACAATTAATTTAAAAGCAGAAGAATATATTTTATAATTATTTTATTGAAGAGTGATTAAAGGGAAGTTAAAACAATATATTTATAGCCAGTGTTTTTGGAGGAAAATGGATTTCAAAATATATGTGTGTGAAATTTTAGTAGTGATTAATATATTTCATAATTTTAATGTTATTTTAAATAATTAGTTGACATTAATTCGCAGGATGCGACAGTCCCGCTGCGAAAATTGGATGAATGGGTTGGACATTGAATAGGGGGAGAAGATTATTAGGCAAATAGACAATGGGGACCATGGTGTTAGTAACAATAGTGTTTTGTGGTGGAGCTTGGGGTTGCGGAACTGAAAATTGATTTTGATTATTTTGGATTGGCCAGTTGGGGTTTACGTTGTTATAATTGGTTATAATATGGGGCTTTCGCCCAACAACAGGGGGGACCGTAAATTTTAATGAGTTTAATGGGGGAATGTGTGAAATGTTTCTTTTCATAAATTTCTTATTCTTATTCCTTCGCAATTTGGCCAATTGATTTTTTGAAATGGTTGATGCTGGGAGACGTTCAACAAAGCCAGAAGGGAGCACACGTACACGGCTGATTGGAAATTTGATGGGAGAGCTGGGTGGAGGCGGTGGGGGATCCAAAATCATTTTCAGTTCCGGAGACGCAAGCGATTGTGGTGGTTGAATTGGCAGTGGGATTTCATCCACAGGCATGTTGGTTGGTGGGGGTGTTGGTGATGGAGGAAGGATTGGTGGATGGGCGGTTGGTTTAGCGGTAATTGATATTTCTGAAAATTTAGAAGAAATTTCAGCGGTGGGGGCCGCCTGAAGTGAGGATTCGGTAGTTGCCACCAAATTAGTATTTATAGACATTGGTTCGGGAGAAGAATTAGATGAATTATTATTAATAGTAAAGTTTAAATATTTTCGTAATTTATAAATTTCGTTTTGGGGAATAGGGGTTCGAATATTTTTCGTTTTCATCTAAATTTATTTTATATTATTGAGAGGTAGGAGGGCGGGGAGGGTCGCTACGGAGTATTAATTCTTCTAAATTATTTCTAATTTCCGACATTTCTATCGGTTGATCAATTTGAGGGGATTGGGGCCGAGAAAAATATTTATAAAGTAAGGTAGCTAATTTTAAAATAAGAAGTATAAATAAGGAAACAAAACAGCCTAAAAGGGAGAATATGGCTGCCGATGATTCTGGGTGTTCTTGAATAAATGAGGAGAGGGATTCCATACCGAAGTAGAGGGCCGAGCTAGCCAGAATTGGTAGCGAAAGTTTTGCGGTTGGTTTTCCAACCGTTTTGAAGACTTTACTTATTGTGTATTTTCCTTTTCTTTTTGGAAATGGGAGGGCAGGGGGTGGTAAAAATAAAATAAGGAAAAATATTATACAAATTGAAGACAATTCAAATTGTTTTATTAAAGTTTTAACCGGCCTAGTATTTGTTGTATGAGGGGAAAGGCTTTTGGATTTTTTGTTGGTTTGCCTATGGTTTTGTTTATGGACGAATTTTAAATGTTTGTACACATAATTTATTGTTAAGCCTATTAATACAAGAAGGATTAGGAAAGATGAGTAATAAGCCCAATTTGGGCCTTCAGGTTTAGTTGGTTGGAAATAAGCGGAAAAATCCAAAGAAAAAATATTAATAGAAATTATGTTTCCCATAATTAATTGAAGAAATTTATTATTTAAAAAATGATAATTAAATTGAAAGGTTGAGAGATTTTATATGCTTTAACTTGAATCTCTCCTCCCATTTTTAACATAAATAAAAATTAATGATTTAAAAAAATTTTTAATAAAAAATTCCTGGGAAAGTGTTAGAAATTGCTTGTATTTGTGTTTACTGGGAAAGTATTGTTGTAATTTCTTTATTTTCTTTTGTGGGATTAGCTGGGAGATTTATTCTATTATTAATTTCATCTGTTGTTTCTAAGGGACAGAGATGACTAATGGAACGATTTGTTCTTCGTCCGGATGAGAAACGAATGGTTGCGATATCGGGAATGTTATCTTTATTACATTGTATTTTCTCAATCACTGCAGTTCTCCAAACGGAGACGGGGGAATTTTCAACAACAATTACCAATTCTCCACTAGTTGGACTTCGGTCGGAATTTTTTCTTAAATTTTTATGCCTTTCTCGGAGTGATAAAATATATTCTTGGGCCCATTGTTTCCAAAATTTTTGGCTTGTTTTTGTTAAGGTTTTCCATAATTTTTGAAGGGATATTGTGTTACTGTTTATTTCGAGAGGGTGGGGTTGTGGACATAAATTAGAGATTGGGGAAATATTTTTGTTTAATGGACGTATAAAATCAATTGGACGTAATGGCCGTATTTCCTTTGGGTCGGTTGAATCGAAGGTTATAGGCCGATGGTTTATAATATTTTCAATTTCTCCTATTATTGTTAGCGCTTCTTCAAAGGTAAAAATTTTGGGAATAATTCCGGTTGATAGAGTGCGGCGGAGATGAAATTTTATTAAGCCCACAAATCTTTCGTAGTGACCTCCTCTCCAAGCCGCGTATGGTACTCGAAGGTTCCAAGTTGGGGGGTAAGTTTTTAGGGAATTTTTAAATGAGACAAATGTTGGAGCGCTATCCGAATAAATGACTGTGGGAGGGCTAAATTTGGCAGAAAATCTACGATAAGCCAGTGAAAATTGTTGGGCGGATTGATTTGGTACTAAGTCTAAGCATATTCCACGGGTTGTTAAACAAACCCATAAAAGAATGTAAAATTTTTGATTATTTATTTCCGCATATTTTAAACGTAATGGTCCGCAATAATCTAACCCTATGGCGGAAAATGGACGGGATGGTGTCACTCTGTCTTCTGGAAGTTGTGGAAAGGGTGGTCGGTTAAATGGCACAGAATTAAATTTGCGGCAGGGTAGGCAACTTAAATATAGAGTGTGTTGTACAACCCGTCTTCCACGTGGTATCCAAAATTCTCTTCTAATCATTGAGAGTACGGAAAGTGGGCTGGCATGATGGTTTAGTACATGAATTTCATAAATTAGTAATTTTGTGAGGTGGGAGTTGGCTGGCAGGAATATTGGCATAATAGTATTTTGTGGGAGATTACTATTTCCTAACCTGCCATTTGCTCTAATTAAATTATTTTCATCGTTAAATAGGCCTAATGAATTTTCTTCCTGTTCGGTTGGAGGGTAATAATCTTGTTCTTGTTTAATGAGAATTTTCAAAGCCGAGCGTAGTTCTCGGATGGATATGTTTAAATTCTTAATTCTTGGGTATTTTTTCAAAAATGGGGAAATTGAAGAGTGTCCATTATAAGCAATAAATCTCAAAACATACGCAGTAACACGAAGGAGTTTTGGCAGGCGAGAAAATTTATTAATTTCCATTAGGGGTGTCGGTTTTGTTTGTGTAGTGTGGAATGTCATTATGGGGTGTTCTTCAATAGTTTCTGTGGTTGGTTTGTAGTCGTTTGATGAGAATGATGGAATTTCCGCATTTTCCTTTGGCCAGGAATTTGTTGCACACGACAACCAAGATGGTCCATATACCCATAATTCATTTTTAAACAACTCACTTGGGTTTGCAATTCCACGTGTGCCCAAGTCCGAGGGGTTTTGACTTCCTGCTATGTGCCGGACTTTTAAATTTGGGGTGGCTCGGATGGGTTTGATACGGTTATAAATAAATACATCTTTAATGGGTAGGCGAGAATTTAACCAGGAAATAACTACGGACGAGTCTACCCAGAGGGTCAAATTTTCATCCATATGTGTGGTGGGAAGTTGTGATTTTACGTAAATAAGGGCTCTCAATCCAATTAAAGCTGCAACCAATTCCATTTTTGGTATAGTGAATTTCTGACCCTTTTTTGTAATGGGTTTAAGCTTTGTTTTACTAAATAAGAGAGATGAATGGATTGATTGGGGAAGGTGGATACGTAAATAAATAGCGGCGCACATGGCCTGTGAAGAAGCGTCACTAAAACAATGTAATTCGATTTGTTTCACATTTAAGGGGTCGGGACATATACATCTTGGAATTGAGAATTTTAAGTCTTTCCATTCGCAAAATAATTGTTTCCATTCATTTACTTTTTCTTCGGGCACAGGGTCTGTCCACTTCAAATTTTTGAGCCATAAAGATTGGAAAAATAATTTTAAGGGGAGTAAAATGGGTGATAAAAACCCACATGGATCATAAGCTGATGCAACAAATGAGAGAATGTCGCATTTCTTTGGGTTGGAGATTTCAGGGGGATTTGGTAAGTTAAGTCTAAATTTATCTTCGATTGGGCAATATTTAATACCAAGAAATTTAATTTTTGAGCTGGGGAGTTTGTCCTCTTCTGGGACGTCTTGTATAATTTCAGGGCAATTACTTACAAATTCTCTGAGTTTCATATTTGCCGTTGCAAAAAGCTTTGTTGCCTCAAGACATTTTAATTTTCCTTCTGTTATAAAGGAGGCTGTAAGAAGTATATTGTCTACATAAATATTTTCTTCCAATTCTTGTGATAGAGAGGATTTGTTTTTTAAAAGGTGGTAGCGAATTGTTGCTGCAAGGAGAAATGGTGAACAGATTAGTCCAAATGGTACACGGGCAAATCGATAAATTTGGATATTAGCCGAGGAGAGAGGAAGTGAAATGTCTTGTAACCACAAAAAGCGTGTTACGTCACGATCAGAAGGATTTATACTAATTTGAAGGAAGGCCTTTTGAATATCGGCCGTGATTACGTATTTAGGGAGGCGGAATTTAAATAAAAGACCGACAAGGTCATTCAGAAGGTTAGTTCCAGAGAATAAGCATTCGTTAAGTGACAGGTTCTTTCCTAATTTTGCTGAACCGTCGTAAACTATTCGAACCGTTTTCTTGTCCTGACGTATTACTGGGTGGTGGGGAAGGTAAAGAAGTGGTACACAATTTTGATTTGGGTTTTGAACCTTTTCTATTATTCCCAATTGGAGCTGTTCTGTGAGTATTTCTTGGTATTTGGAAATAAGCGTTTTATCATTTTTCAAGGAATTTAATACAGAACGCAAGCGTCCGTAACATAGAGGAAAATTCGTTGGTATTGGCAAATGGGCTGGATCGGTTTTAAACGGGAACTTTATTTCATAACGCCCGTCAACAAATTTGATGTCTTTAACGAATTGGGTTGATACCTTGTCTTCAGAGTTTTCCCCGGGATCCTCTTTTATACCGACTCCTTCTAGGGAAAGAAATTGTTGTATTTGATCATCGATTTGGGAGCAAAAATTAGTATTGTGGATTAGACTATTACTAGGTGAGTACGGTTTACCGGCCACAATAGGGCCAAGAAGAGTGCTAACTAAAGTATATCCCGATGGAAGCTTTTTTATTGGGGTGGGTTCAAGATCATAATAGTAATCACTTCCTAATAATATTACTGGGTATATTATTTCGGCGGGAGGCAAAAATTCGGAAGTGCTATTTATTATCTCAAAAAATGGGGGAATATATTTTGTGGGTTGTGTTAAATGATTAATTGTACAAGCATTAATGTAAATGGATCGGCCGTCTATAAGTTTTAAGCCAAATTCAGTAGAGAAGGTGGTGGTCGTTTGACATGAGGGATTGCTGAATACTCCTAAATTAACTGTAGTGGGTTTCATATTTAGTCCTAATGAAATTGCTTCGGACTTTTGTATGTAGGAGTGGGTACTAGCATCATCTAACATTAAAAAGCCTGTACTACGTTTCGACGGGTAAGTCGGATTGAAGAACTCTACTCTAATACATTTAAGCAGTATCGGTGGGCTTGAATTTGGTTTTCGAGGGTAAACATACCGTGATGAAGTATTTATTTGGGCGGGGCCAATAGTTTTTGTTTCTGGGTTTGGCGATGGCTGTTGTTCATTTTTATATTTTGAATGATTCTGACTTGCGGGAAATTCATTAAAATTTTGTGAAGATGTGCTAGCAAATAGTGATGGTATTTGTGAAGGTTGGGGTTGTGAATAATTGGTTTGATAAGGAAATTGTAAATTAGTACGATTTGAATTATTGGTATTGTACCGTGAATTGTTAAAAGCGTTTGTGTTATTTTGGGGTGAATTAAATAGAGCTCTGCAAATAGCTCTTGGGTGATTGTTTTGACAAAAGGTACATTTAATAGGACGGGGACAGTTCATTGATTGGTGGTTATTTTTAAAACATTTAAAACACAGTCCCTTTTCTCGCAAACGGGATGTACGTGTTTGTAGGTTTGGATATTGTGTACATGCGTTTGAAAGGTGGGAGAATTGGTTACAAAATACGCATGGAAATCTTGATCTGGACGTTGGCAAATTATTACGAGTAGTAAAAAATGTTAAAGAGGAGTTAGGTGTGTGAGGCGGAGAACTTTCATTAGTCCAATTATTTCGTGGGGATCTGGGTGAAAAACGTGTTGCTTCTGGTATATTCAATTCTTTCTTTTGATCCTTTAATGATTTTATGCCTTCTTTGCGCTTCAATATTTGTTTTAGTGTTGTCCTAAGTTGATCAGTCTGCCATTCATCTCCATATTCATCCTTAGCCTTAAAAATTTCTTCCAAAATAAGGGGAGGGAGTTTTGATTCTAACTCCATTTGCACGGAAAGGGTATTTATGTCAAATTCTTGTTCAAGCATTTGTAAATATAATAGTTCTAATTGGTCTACGAAAGCTCGTAGTTCCATACAAAGGGTTTCGGGGCCATTATTTGAATGAACTATGGGCAATTTACGTATTGAATGCAGAAGGGTTCTGTTAATTTCATTGGCATTTCCATAATTTTCCCGTAAAAGTCGAATTGCCTCGTGATAAGAAGCATCAGTTAATGGAAGGGATTTTATTAATAAAAGTGCCGGTCCATCCAGACATTCCTTGAGGTAATTAAATTTAACAGCGTCTGAAAGATTTGGAATATCATGGACCCCAGCGCGAAATGAGTTCCAAAAGGAGGTGAATTCGATACATTTCCCACTAAATTTGGGAAGTGATAGTTTGGGTAGATGAAATAAAGTATCAGTGGATTTGGAAGGGTCGGGAAGGTTTTCAGATAAAGTTGCCTTTTCTGTGCGTAGTTTGTTAATATATTTCTTTAAATTACGGATTGTAGTTGGGTAGGGCACATCTTGTACAAATTCATCATATATGGGATTATCTGCTATTCGTTCGGCTCCCGTCATTGACGTTCTGACACCCATCCAAAGATCATTTTGGCGATTGATATCGTTGTAAATTTCTGTTGCATTTTGTGATTCAGTATCTAATGAATTAATTAGGGTGCGAATTTGGGTATGATATTGAGAAATGCTTCCAGTTTGGACAGGAAGGGCAAATGATTTTTGATTATTTAGGATATCATCGGCTTCTTCAGCCAACAACCGAATTTGGTTACGAAAAGGGGCTGACATTTTCTCGGTTTTTCTTTAACCCGGCTGAGCTGTAGGGTTTTTTTCCTAATATTTAAAGAAATCCTAGTTCTAAGTTCAATTAATTCAAAATCCAATAAAGTTTATTTCGCAAGAGAAAAAATACAATTAATTTAAAAGCAGAAGAATATATTTTATAATTATTTTATTGAAGAGTGATTAAAGGGAAGTTAAAACAATATATTTATAGCCAGTGTTTTTGGAGGAAAATGGATTTCAAAATATATGTGTGTGAAATTTTAGTAGTGATTAATATATTTCATAATTTTAATGTTATTTTAAATAATTAGTTGACATTAATTCGCAGGATGCGACAGGGGTTATTCACTCTAAATGCAACACAAGCCGGAACAGAAAAGCCGAAGTTCCTAGACATTTAACCGGAATTGTAAACTAGTAGGTCGAAAATTGGACCCAAAATCGCCTAAGGATGTCCCTGACTGATTTGGGCTTTAAAGATAAATCCCCTGAGGATGCCGTTACCAGTCAATAAATGAAAGTGAACAAACTTATTGAAGTAAGAACCAAAACAAACCTCTATTAATGAATCAGCAATTACCAATCCCTCAGCTTTTTGTCTCGAATTTTTAGTTTTTAAACTATCAAGAATAAGTGGAAAAATTTTTGACGGGACAGAAATTGAATTGAGTACATGTACAATTTTACGAACTTGATTTCTAATTAAATCTTTTGAATCACCACACTAAAAATTTTTTTTAATTTACAAAAATAAAAATTAAAAAGAAAACCTTCAAAAGTAAATAAGGCAAAAAAGATTGCATTTCCAAATCATTCAAACCTTCATTCATTGCTTCCATTTGTGTAAATACAGCAAGTATAAATTCTAATACCTTGATTAAAACTGAAGGGTTTGTATCAAAGAAACGCAAAGTTGACCATTTGAGAAGGAGATCAATATTGTTTATAATACATTCTGGTGAAGCTGCATGAACCTACATAAAAGGGTTCCGTGACTTTTGCGCCGGGGGACTTTTGCGCCGAGTGACTTTTGCGCCGGGGGACTTTTGCGCCGGGCGACTTTTGCACCGCGACTTTTGCGCCGGACGACTTTTGCGCCGCTACTATCATTAATAATTATGAAAAACTACAGCCGGACCTCACTATAGAAGATGTAGGATAGTTGTGGATCTTCGGATATGAAGAAAATTTTCGGCTATTCGGACTTTTTCAAATCCGGATATCTGGATCCGACAACCCTACACTATAGTGCACCCTCTTCTGGCAAAAAATCATGCCTGAATAGGGGTAGCAGACCAAATATCCTGATCCGAAAAAGTCAAGTTCTTTGAAGATGACCCCTCTAGGGGGTCGGTTTATTATAGAAGGCTATTGTACTTCCCGAAATATTGTACTTCCTAAAATTCCTTCAGCTCCTGGATACCATTTTTTAATGAGTACACTATAATTAGGTCCGACTGTAGGTATTTTTTTTAATTATGGCGGCGCAATTGTCGCGGCGCATAAGTCGCCCGGCGCAAAAGTCGCGGCGCACAAGTCGCTCGGCGCATAAGTCGCGGCGCAAAAGTCGCGGCGCAAATGTCGCGGCGCAAAAGTCGCCCGGCGCATAAGTCGCGGCGCAAATGTTCTCGGCGCAAAAGTCGTGATACACACAAAAGGACAAAAATAAAGTTGAAAATGTTTACAGGCCCTAAAAGAGTCGACATTGTTATAAGATACACTCTGGGGAATTTTTTTCATCGATAAATTCCACAACCGTCTGCTTAAACTTCCGATATTCCTACAAATTCTACTTAATTCCCCGATATCCCTTAAACACCTGTTATCCTTCCAAACCCCTTATATCGCTTAAAAAACGTAATAACGAATTCTGCAACACAATAAATCCAACCCACAAAAATCCTAAACTGGTGTGAGGTGTATCTAGCATTGAGGGTATCTTATAAAGAGGCTCGCTTGAAAAAACAAATAATTTCACACAAACCTCATTAAGATATTCAATAGCTTTAATTTGTTGTTTAAAATCCTTATTAAACAACTGTCCAGTCAACGGAGGTTTTGTCACAGAAGTCAAGGAATTAGTTAATTGTTCTAAATGTTCTGCCGTAGGTGTGTCAAAGTTCCATTTTAAAGTCTATAGAAAAATTTTCAAAATTTAAAAACAAATAAAATATTAAAACAACCTTAAGAGCCTTTTCCTCTTTAAGTCGCAAAGCCCTATCACTTTTAAATAATAACAAAAATTCAGGTTCCGAATCTTCAACTTTTGGCTCAACTTTGGGCTGTTCAGGTTTCTGTTGTTGTTTAGAATTTTTAACAGCTTTCTTCTGGTTGGTTTGTTGAACTTGAGTAGAGGCATCATCTTCAGACTGTAAAATATAAAAAAATCAGATAGAACCTAAAACTATCCACGACTGGATAATCTTTGCCTGTAGCGACTCAAAGGAATTTCATTGACTTTTGAGCCTCATAGGCAAAAATTACCCGAACGTAAACAATCCTCATAGAAAATTTAGTAATATACAAAAAACACAAAAATATAAACCAAAAAAAGGAAAAAAATATATTTACATTCTCAACAGAATCAGGAACAGATTCGGGTTTATTGTTAGAAGCAGCAATTGTCGGTTTAGTAGTATTGTTCTGCACTTTAGCTTTGTTTTCAACAGCCTTTTTGACATTAGGAGGTGGTGGTGCTGCAACGACAGACTTTACAGACTACACAAAACAAAATTACACAAATTATTAAAAGTCAAGAAAAATAAAACCTCAATTTTGGCACTAGGACATTCAGAAATGGCCTTTTCACGATATTCAGCAATCTAAAAAACTATTGAAAATAAAAATCATATTTAAATAAACCTTTGACATTTTTGTGGAATCCTTAACAATTTCAGCACCTAGGAAAACTGCAAGTGCACTTTCACCGATACATTTTTGTATAGCACCCAATGCAGCACAAGAAGCATCACGAACTTCTGGATCGGAGTCAGAGGCGTGCTAGAGATTGAAATTAATGCTGAAAATTTTTTAAGGAGAATACTTACATTAGTCAATGACGCAACCAAATCCTTTAAAAGCCCTTTAGGAATATCCTTGCTGTTAAGCGACCGAAATGTTCTGTAGATGAAATGATCAAGTTGAGATTTCTGGCTTGGATTGGGCTTTTTAGCTGCTTCCAAAATACTAGCTGAGAGGTTGTTTAAAGTCTAAATAAAAAATAAGCCGATAAAAACCTTGGAATTTTTTAAAATTCTATTCCTCATGAACAAATCTCGTGGCCCAACTTAACGTCCATCTGGCATAAAAATAAGACAGAGAAAAGGACAAGTGGACCGGATTCTGAACTTGCTCCTAAGTCTGAAAACCAGTCATTTTTAACAATCTATAGTAAAGTGGGCACGGTAAGTTTGACCTCCTCCCATAAAATCTAAATATTATAATAACCGTGGTAGCATAAACAGCGTCAATTAATTCAATCAAAGGATCACGAAGATGAGGCTTCTTCTCTTTGAATTTGTCAAATATAATTGGAGATAATGAAGCTGTATGAGGTCCAAATTTGTTGCGTAATCCTTTAGCCATTCCAGTAAGACATTTAGCAGCAACAGCAGCACAATTAATATTTGCGTCAGATTTGAGAACCTAAAGAATAAAAATATTATCTTCGGAAAAAGAGCAAATCTTGGAAAAAGGGGGAGAATCATGAAAAAAATATAAATAAAAAAAATCGAAAACCTTTGTAAGCTTATCAATCAAATCCCCATAATCCGGGTTGTCCGCCAACTTTGGATTTTCTAACAAAATGCCATGAACTGAATCCAATACAGCTTTTCTTTCCTGCCACTTCTTACTAGCCAATTGAGTGTCTAAATCACCCGGAAGTTTTGGAATAATGTCAACAGGGTCCAAAAGTTCAAAAGGATCAATTTGCTGTGGTTGTGGTTCGGGGACACTTTGTTGTTGATGATTTGTGTTTGTAGATATTTGCTGTTGACATTGTTGAGAGGATGCTGCAGAAGCACAATTATTCTCGGAGGCTTGCTAAAAATGAACAATTGAAAGGAAAAGGAGAAAGTATAAAAACCTTTTGACTTTCAGCTTCAACGACAGCCTTTTCACGATATTCAGCAATCTAGAATGTTGTTGAAAAATATAAATTTTATTTAAACAAACCTTTGACATCTTTGTGGAATCTTTAACAATTTCAGCACCTAGGAAAACTGCAAGTGCACTTTCACCGATACATTTTTGTATAGCACCCAAAGCAGCACACGAGGCATCACGAACCTCAGGATCGGAGTCAGAGGCATGCTGGAGAAAAAATTGTGAATGAAAATTTTTGGGCTCTTTTTCAGGAGGGTTATGTCCTATCCAACGAACTTTTAACAGTATAAACTTACATTAGTCAATGACGCAACCAAATCCTTTAAAAGTCCTTTAGGAATATCCTTGCTGTTAAGCGACCGAAATGTTCTGTAGATGAAATGATCAAGTTGAGATTTCTGGCTTGGATTGGGCTTCTTAGCAGCTTCCAAAATACTGGCTGTGAGATTGTTTAAATTCTAAATAAAAGAAAAAGATAAGGTAACAAAAATCTAAATAATAACTGTGGTAGCAAAAACAGCGTCAATTAATTCAATCAAAGGATCACGAAGATGAGGCTTCTTCTCTTTAAACTTTTCAAATATAATTGGAGATAATGAAGCTGTATGAGGTCCAAATTTGTTGCGCAATCCTTTAGCCATTCCTGTAAGACATTTAGCAGCAACAGCAGCACAATTAATATTTGCGTCAGATTTGAGAACCTTCAAAAATATTATAAGCCAAAAATAGTTTAAAAACCTTTGTAAGCTTATCAATCAAATCTCCACAATCTGGGTTATCAACCAATTTTGGATTTTTCAACAAAATTTCGTGAACAGCATCTAATGTAGTTTTACGTTCCTGCCACTTTTTACTTGCCAAATTTGTGTCTAAATCAGCAGGAAGTTTTGGAATAATGTCAACAGGTTCCAAAAGTTCAAAAGGATCCATATCTTTAAAATAGATTTTCTGCTAGAATAAAATATAAAAAATAAAATTTCAAAAAATAAGCGAGAAAAAACAAATATATCTTTTATCGATTTACTTGCCAAGGACAAATTTATGAGAATTAGCGGCGCAAAAAAACTAGGGCAAAATTTACAAGAGGTTAAAATTTACTTCTTTAAAGTTCCGCGATTATATGACTCGAAGGACGATTAGACGCGAGCTCTTAGAAGTAGCCTATTTAATCGCGGTCACTTAAACGCACTTAGGGCGTGCAATTGTTCTATAAAGTGCGCGGGAATCTGGCACATTTCATGGGCTATTCTTTGGGGGTCTCGTATTTTTTTTCTGTAAGAACAGATTGTAGATGCCAATGTGTTTACTTAAATCTTGACAAAATTATTTTTATCAATTTTAACAATTTAACTTTTTACCACAATGAAACTTGCGGAATTTTTTTCGTTTAAATTTTTTGGGGTTTTTAATGGAGAAAATTTTTGTTTTTTAAATTTTTTTTCTATTTTTGATTCTTTAACTTCACCCCCATAACATTATCTAATTTCTCTTAAGAAAGTGATAAGAATAAGAAACACCCATTTTATAAGAAACACCATTTCTCATTTAATTTTTATTCTCGAAGTATATTGATTTTATTTGCAGTTTTCGGTCATTCATTTCATATATATTTTTGATTATATATTAAATATGTACATTTATAGAAATTAGTTTCCTTTTATTAAATTGATCAATCAAAACTTTTTTCTTCGTGTCTTTAAATATTTTAGATTTCTAAAGAAAATTTTTTTGAAATTAATTTTGAATAAAACTAATGATAGTGGATTCTCCAACTCCTCCTCAAACTCAGGTATAATTTAGAAATAAACCAAAATAATATCTTTCAAAAATTCAGGATGTCTCTTTATTTAGAAGGCCAAAAGTTTATATTATTGGTGTTGGAATGACAGCGGTATTTTATTTTTAAGAATCTTTTATTTCTAAATTGAATCATTTTCAGTTCACAAAGCCGCTTACATCTGGCAAGGATTATCCAGAATTGGTTAAAGAAGCAGGTAACTTTTTTTAACTTTGTTTTAACCAAGCCTCCTTATAAATCGCCCTCGGGGTAGAAGAAACAATTTTATAAGGAGGTATTTTTTAAATTGGGTGTAGCTCGTAATGAGGTTTCTCTTAGATAGAGGGTATTTTATGGTTAGGTTTCTCTTAAATAGGGGTATCTTATACATAATTTGTTTTTTTTTTTAAATTTTTTTCTTAATTCTAAAAATAATTTTTTAGTTGGCGAAGCTTTGAGTGATGCTGGTGTAAGATATGAACAAATTCAACAAGGTTTGGGCTTTGAAGCTATTTTTAACAATAAAAAATTAATTTTTAAAGCAACCGCTTCCTACATGTATGGAGGATCTTGTTGCGGTCAAAGAGCATTATATGAAATCGGATTGACAGGAATACCTATATTTAATGTTTTTTTTGTTTAAAAAATTTTTTAGAAATATTTTTTATTCAAGTTAAATAATGCCTGTGCAAGTAGTTCCAGTGGAATATTTCTTTGTAAACAAATTATAGAAAGTGGAAATATTGATTTAATGCTTGCTGTTGGGTTTGAAAAGGTTTTCCTTTTAAAATTTTATGGAGGCGGATCTCTTTATAAGATTCACCTTAATATTGAATACACCTCTATTTTAGAGACGCTTTTTAAAAATAAGGTTGGCCACTTGCTCTGAGGAAGCTGCCTAACCGATTTTTATTTAAGATACCTCATTATAATAGGGTGCAGATATCGATATCAGACTGTTTATTACTTAAAATCGGGAGATAAGCCGAGGTCCTCACATCTTAATTTTTATGGATACAGAGGCAAGAATAGAACATTTTTCAGTGTTTCTTAGTGTTTACTTTACTTGGCTTATTGATCTGGTTGGGCCAAAATCAATTTAGGTCACGATTTCTTTTAATTTCCGATCCCTCTTAAAATCTCAATAAAACTTCCTCAAAAAATCAATTTAAGAAAAGATATTTAATATTTAAGAAAAAACTTTCAAAAATTGTTAACCTTTATTCGGAAATCCTTTTCCAAACCCAATATTTTTGTATTGAGTTTTAATCTTAAAATTAAACTAAAATAATCTAAAATAAAAAAAACTTCCAAATGTTGACCATTTGAAGAAATACAATCAATTTCTGCCCCATAAAATAAATTAAATTTATTTAAATTTGAAGAATTTGATAAATTTGAGGGAGGATTGAGAGTTGCTTAAAAATTAAAAACTTCTAAATAATTGAAAGAGTTTTTGATATAAAAGGGAAGGATAGGAGAGAAATCTGGATTATCGAAATTTTAGAGATATCGAGACAAGATTTGAGGGAGGAATGTAGGAACCTTTTTCGAGGTTGTCTTTTTAAATTTTTTATAAAGCAGACACGTAGCCAGGATTTTTTTCGTGGGGTGTCAAGGGTGAAAATTTTAATGAGCAAATTTTGACTTTTAGCGCCAAAGCGAAAATTCTGAAAAATTTGGAAGGCTGCTTTACCTGAAAGTAAATCGGCTGTGGTGTAGTGTACCGGTGGTAAGAGTTCGGGACGAGACATATGTCATTCGATTCGTCTCGGCGAGCTGAGTCGAACGGTACCACTCCCAGTTTCAGGAAATGATTCTGGACCGAGTTATAGGTCCCGAAAAATCGAAAAATCAAAGGGGGGACCAAGCACTTTTTTGGGGTGAAAAATTCGAATATGCAAATTATAACTCATTTGAAAGAGCTCTTCAAGCTGAGTCGAATGACACCAAAATCAACGAAATCCGACTTGATTGGACTGAGATACAGACCCCTAAAAATCGAAGATCCAAAGGGGCGATTTTTGGAATAAAAATTTTTTATACAAATAATGCCTCATTCGAAAGAGCTCGACGAGCTGAGTCAAATGACACCAAAATCACCGTGATTGAACAAGATTAGACAAAGTTATGATACAAAAAACAAAAACCTAAACCTATGGAGCGTCGGCGAGGCGCTTGTGCAAAACCCCGCGCTTCGCGCGGGGTTTTGCGGCACGCGCCTCGCGGGGAGTCTACGGGCGCTGGGTCTGGGCTCGTAACATAAGCCTATTCCTATCTCCCTTGCTCTGGACGTATTTGTGGCCTCCGTAGCAGCAAAAAACTTCACAGATGCCATAGGTAAGGAGCTAAAATAAAAGATCATAACTTTGTCCAATCAAGTCGGATTTCGTTGATTTTGGTGTCATTCGACTCAGCTTGAAGAGCTCTTTCAAATGAGGTATAATTTGCATATTCGAATTTTTCACCCCAAAAAAGTGCTTGGTCCCCCCTTTGGTTTTTCGATTTTTCGGGACCTATAACTCGGTCCAGAATCATTTCCTGAAATTGAGAGTGGTACCGTTCGACTCAGCTCGCCGAGACGAATCGAATGACATATGTCTCGTCCCGAACTTTTACCTCCGGTGAACTACACTACAGCCGGAATAGGTTTATGTTACAAGCCCAGACCCATCGCCCGTAGATTCCCCGCGAGGCGCGTGCCGCAAAACCCCGCGCGAAGCGCGGGTCCTAAATCGAGCTTACTCCCCCTATGGTTTTTCAATTTTTCGGGACCTATAACTCGGTCCAGAATCATTTCCTAAAGTAGGGAGTGGTACCATTCGACTCAGCTCGTCGAGACGACATATGTCACGTCCCGAACTTTTACCACCGGTACACTACACTATATCCAGTAAATCAGCTGAACCCATCCCAAAAAATAGCAAAAATTTAATAAGTAATTATTTTTTCAATGGTTATCCAATAAAAAATATTTTAAAAATATTTTAAAAATATTTTTGTCGGTAATTTTTGCCTATTTTCTCAAATAAAGTACCGGATCATTGATTCAAAAAAGGCAGAGCTGGTACCTATGGCCATAAATAAAGATTTGTAACATATCTTTAAGTCTAACCATTTTTCCACCTGTGGAAGGAAAGAAGAGGGGAGGTACGAAGTTCAATTTTACCACCGTTTTATCTTTTAGAAAGGAAAATATAAAATAATTGATATTTAGCTCAATATGACTGGTACAATCTTTTTAATAACAAAAATTCTTCAGAAATGACCGAAATATTAAATTCCATAATAACCCAATCAATTAAAAAATTCATCCCGTAAAAAAATAGGAAAAATTCCGTCATATCACCCGGAAACCGATTCGGACAAATGATATGTCATTTGAAAGAACTCGCCGAGCTGAGTCGAAAGAAACCAAAATTAGCTTCGGGACTCACCTATGGGACGAGATATAGGCCCCCGAAAATCGAAAACCCATAGGGGGGAGTAAGCTCAAATTTGGGATGAAAAATTCGATTTTTTGAATGATAGCTCATTCGAAAGAGCTCCTTGAGCTGAGTCGAATGACACCAAAATCAGCTCGAGATCTTGATTCTGAGCCGAGATAAAGAGGCTCAAAATGGTCAACGTAAACCTATGGGGCGTCGGCGAGGCGCTTGTGCAAAACTCCGCGCTTCGCGC